TCGGCCAGGGGACGGCGGAGGAGAAGGGGGGAGGATGAGGCTCATACTTCACCGTCTGGCTGGCGCATACACTTTGCCCTTTCGGGCCCTTTTCGGCGCATACTTCACCGCCTGGCTGGCGCATACTCTTAGCCCTTGCGCCTTCCTATATTCCGCTGCACCAGCCAGGCGTGCGTTGTTTGTCTCAGGTCCAAGTCGGCCTCTTCATTTGTTCCTAGCCACAAGGCGCAACGATTATCTGATCTTTGTCCGCGCAACGTCAAAACGATGAGGCACATGAGCGAGGTGCCATGAGTGGGATTTGAGGAGGCTCCCGCTCGAGACGCTGTTGCGGTCTGCCTGGGAGCGAGGGTCCCTCCCTGAGGAAAACCGGTCAATTTCGACAGGGACACGGCCGCCGTCGAGACATCCTCACATTCTGCTGTTGGACGTTGCACCTGCTGGAGGCATCCTCGCAAGATGCCCCGAAATGACATTTTCACCAGGCCGAGCGAAAGTTCAATATTGGACCTCCCAACCACAGAATTGAAATCGCAGCCCAATGTGGCAGTTTTGGTCCAACATGGAAGTTCTGGGCCCCACGATTGGACCAAAACCTCAATATTGAACCTCGCCCTATGGTCAATCTGGAGTTTGACAACTCCACTTTTGGTTTTTTGCAATCTGGAGTTTGGGAGGACAATTTGTTGACTGTGTGGATTGCCCTTTTTCAATTCCAGGGTCGGCACCTCAATATTGGGGTTTGGGTGACAGCTGTGGTATATATATATATATATATATATATATATATATATACATGTATATATATATATATATAGATCGATTCCTCTGCTTATATTTGGGGGTGGGAAAATCCCCGCCCCCAAAACAAACAACTAGACTCCCAGGATCGGGGGTTTCCGGGCCCCCCGGACATCCTGACCAAGGTCCTCCGGCTCGTCCTGGACCTCCTGGGGCGCTTAGCCGGGTCCTGCCAGCAGGCCCCAAGCGAGCAGAGCGGTGATCAGAGAGGCCGAAGAAAGGCCCAAGACAAGAGCGCTCCATGAAGGACCCAGATGGCCTCCAGAGGCCCCCAAGACGGCCCAGGAGGCCCTCAACAGGACTCCCAAAACGCAAGCCTCGCTTCATTCCCCAATGGAAACGTATAATTATATTCAGCGCATTCGTTGTTCGGCTCTGAGCAGCGTCCAAAGCAGCCAACAAGGCCTCCAGTATCCCCCCAAGACGGTCCAAGATAGCATCTAGACGGCCTGGATGGCCCCAAGACTGCCCAAGGAAACCCCAACCGAGCCAAAAAGAGGCCCAACAGGCCCCCACAAGGCCCCCAAGCGATCAGAGTGCGGTGGTCAGAGAGGCCGAGGAGAGACCCAAGACAGCACAAGAGCGCTCCAAGAAGGACCCAGATGGCCTCCAGAGGCCCCCAAGGCGGCCCAGGAGGCCCTCAACAGGGCTCCCAGAACGCAGACATCGCTTCATTCCCTTAGGGAAACGTCGTTTTCAGCATATTCCCTGTTCGGGTCTTAGCAGCGCCCAAAACAGCCAAGAAGGCCTCCGGTATCGCCCCATGACGGCCCAAAAGACACTCAAGAGAGCCTCTAGACGGCCTGGATTGCCCCAAGAGTGCCCAAGGAAGCGTAAAGAGACCCAACAGGCCCTCACAAGGCCCCGAAGCGAGCAGAGCAGTGATCAGAGAGGCCGAAGAAAGACCCAAGACAGCACAAGAGCGCTCCAAGAAGGACCCAGATGACCTTCAAGGACCCCGAAGACGGCCCAGGAGGCCTTTAACAGGACTCCCAAAACGCAAGCCTCGCTTCATTCCCCAATGGAAACGTATAATTATGTTCAGCACATTCGTTGTTCGGGTCTTAGCAGCGTCCAAAGCAGCCAACAAGGCCTCCAGTATCGCCCCAAGACGGTCCAAGCGACCCCCAAGAGAGCCTCTAGATGGCCTGGACGGCCCCAAGATTGCCCAAGGAAACCCCAAATGAGCCAAAAAGAGGCCAAAAACAGGCCTTCACAAGGCCCGCACGAGAAGCCCAAGAAGGCCACGGGAGGCCCCCCAAAAGGCCATGGGAGGCCAACGGGAGGGCCTACGTAGCCCCCGTAAGGTCCCTAGAGGGCCCAAGCTCCCCAACACGGCCCACTATGGCCCCAAGACGGCTCGAGACGGCCCCACGCCGGCCCACCAGAGCTTCAACAAGGCCCACACGGCGTGTTCCACCAAACTGACCCGAATCCCGAGCTCGCAACCACATCCCAGAAATCTGTTGCGAACCCAGGATTGGGTGCATTCCCTGAGAATTATTTGCGTTCGCGTGCCCCGCTGCAACCCGCTGCAACATTCTTCGCCGTCCCCCGACGGTGCCCCCCTCCTCTTTCTGCCGCTCCACCACTCGTCCTCCCCCACATCTGCTCCCTTTCCTCGCTCCCCGAGATTCCCTCCCTCCCTCCCTCCTATCCTTCGCCCTCCACCCAGCGCCTTTCGGGAGCCCCCAGAGGCCTGGGAAGGGCCAGGGACCGCCCGAGTTTTCGAAGACTTTTGAAAACAACCGCAGCGAAGGGGCCACATTTTCAGGGCCGCTAGGGATGCCGCGAGCGACCAACATATACAAAGCCTCAATGACCAAGGTTCATGCGCGAAGCGCCAATGCACTCTTGCATGTGTATATATATATACATATATATAGGTCAGCGTGAGGGGGCTGAACCGAACGGTCATTCACTGTTCCTGGGTGCGTGGCTGAAGTGGAATTCCGCGATGCGGATTATTATTGTTGTTGTTGTTGTTGGTGTTGTTGTTGTTGGTGTTGGTGTTGTTGTTGTTGTTGTTATTGTTGTTGTTGCTGTTGCTGCTGATGTTGTTGTTATTGTTGTTGTTGTTGTGGTGGTGGTTGTTGTTACTGGTTGATGTTGGTTGTTGTTGTTGGTGTTGTTGGTTGTTGTTGATGTTGTTGCTGCTGTTGCTGTTGTTGTTGTTGTTGTTGTTGTTGTTGTTGTTGTTGGTTGTTGTTGTGGTTGTTGTTGTGGTTGTTGTTGTTGTTGTTGTTGTTGTTGTTGCTGTTGTTGTTGTTTGTTGCTTGTTGCTTGTTGCTTGTTGCTTGTTGTTTGTTGTTTGTTGCTTGTTGTTTGTTGCTTGTTGTTTGTTGTGTGTTGTTTGTTGTTTGTTTGTTGTTGTCGTCGTCGTCCCACCCGCGACCCACCCCGCGACCCCCCCGCGACCCACCCCGCGACCCACCCCGCGACCCACCCGCGACCCACCCCGCGACCCACCCGCGACCCACCCGCGACCCACCCCGCGACCCGCCCGCGACCCACCCCGAGACCCCCCCGGTGACCTACCCGCGATCCACCGTCGACCTACCCGCGACCCACCCGCGACCCGCCCCGCGACCCACCCGCGACCCACCCACGACCCACCCGCGACCCACCGCGACCCACCCGCGACCCACCCGCGACCCACCCCGCGACCCACCAAAAATTTTCGGCGCCTGCGGCGGGTTTCTTTAGCATCCGTTCCAGGTGGAGAACCTGCGACCCACCCGCAACCCAAACTGCGTTCAGTGTGCAAATCAAAATTGTCGGCGCCTGCGGCGGGCGGGCTGTTCTTGAATTCCTTCCAGGTTGAGGTGGAGAGCCCGCGACACACCCGCGACCCAAACTACGTTCACTGAACAAGCCGGAATTTCGGCGCCTGCGGCGGGTTTCTTTTGCATTCGTTCCAGGTGGAGAACCTGCGATCCAAACCGCGTTCAGTGTACAAATCAAAATTTTCGGCGCCTGCGGCGGGCTGTTTTTGAATCCCTTCCAGGTGGAGGTGGAGAGCTCGCGACCCACCCGCGACCCAAGCTACGTTCACTGAACAAGCCAAACATTTGGCGCCTGCGGCGGGCTGTTTTTGCATTCGTCCTGGGTGGCCCACCAGTGATCCCCCCCGCGCTGAACTTGTCAGAGCACGCAAATCGGCGCCTGCGGCGGGCTTGCTCGCATTGGTTTGGGACAGCGCCCTCGTGCCAGTTCCCCGATCCGGCCCACGTGGACTCTACAACGGCACATCGGCGCCTGCGGCGGGGCTGTGTCTGAACACGTTCATTGACAATCCAGCTGCCTGCTGCAATTCGGCATCCGTGCCGAAAGCCTGGGTTCAGGGGGAGCTGCCTCAAGGCGCTCACAATCAAGGGGCCTCGGGGCGCTCCAGGGCCCTCCTGAGGGGGGCGTGACGCCCGCGTCGCCCGCGCCCGCCCCCTCACTCTTATCCGCAATTGCGGGGTGCTACGTAGTTCGAGAGTTCGAGGTGTCCGGATGATTTCGTCGGTTTTTGTCGGCCTTCCAGCCTCGGGGTGCTCCCCAGAAGCTGCGCCTCGCCGAAAGCCTTCTGGGGGTGCTCGGACCGCCCCGAACGGCCGCGGGAGAGCCGAGGGGTGCCCAGAAAACAGGTGGAGAGGTACCAATACCACTTCCTTTCTCTTGTTCCCGCCCTTTGGGGCCGAGGGGTGCCCAGGAAACAGGTGGCGAGGTACCAATACCACTTCCTGTCTCTTGTTCCCGCCCTCTTTGGGGCCTCCTTGGAGGCCCTCGTCTCCACGGCTGCCCTCGCTTCGGAATCCTGCCGCAGCGCATCCCAGGAGAGGTCCTGGGCGTGGGCGCGGGTCTCTAGATCTCTCCCTTCGCCCCATCAGAGACGGCGTGAGCCATGTGGGAGCACCGGTGCTCAGCGCCCCGTGCGATGTCTCGGACCAGCGCTGGGCCCCTCCGCCCCGGCGCGCGGAGCTCGGAGGCGCCCCGGGGGGGGGGAGAGCCAGGGGAGGGGGGGCGGGGAGGCCGGGGCCGGGGCGGGGGAGAGGCAGAGGGCGGGGGGGGGCCGGGGGGGCTGGGGCGGGGGAGAGGGAGAGGGCGGGGGGGGAAGGAGGAGGAGGCGGAGGAGGAGGAGGAGGAGGAGGAGGAGGAGGAGGAGGAGGAGCGCGGAGCTTTTGTGCCGCTTTTGCGCCCCCGTCGTCGCCAAGCTGGGGAGCACGGCCATCTCCGCCAGTGCCGCCACCTCCGCGGCCACCATGGCCCTGACGGGCGGGCTGTCGCCGACGCTGTCGATGGTGAGCGGCATACGCGTCGGTTTCTACCTGGGGAGAGGGCAGCCTCTGCGTGCGCGCGCCGTCTCCCGCCTGGCCATGTGCATCGCAGTGCTCGTCACCGGGGGGCTGGCACTGCTGGTCCTTCCCGTCGCACGACCGGTCATCTCGGTTGTCACCAGCGATCCGGCGGTGCAGTCCCCGGCGATCGCCATTCTGCCCGCGGTGATGCTGAATTTGGTCGCTTCCGTCATTGTCTCCATCGGCACGCAGGGCATTCTCACAAGCCAGGGGCGCACCAAGGTAGTCACGCTCCTGTCCATGGGGTTCGAGCTGCCTTTGTCTGTGGGCTCGATCGCGCTCTTCGTCTTCGTCTTCGGGCTCGGCCTCGTGCCCGTCTTCTGGGTCCAGGCGGCCGTCTCGGCCCTCGAGGCCCTGGTGGTCTGGGCCATCGTGCAGCGCAGCGACTGGGACGCTCTCGCGCGTGAGGCTCAGGATCGGCGGCAAGCCCAGGGGGAAGTGAGGAGGTCCTCCAGCGGCAGAGGCGGCTTCTCAGAGACTTCTCTGGCCTCCTGAGAGGCCGCACCTGCCTTCGGAGAAGGCTCAGAGAACTCGGAGGAGGCCCGCACTTCTCTGCGTTTCCCCTCTGGTGCGGGGAAGGTGTGTGTCCACATTCGCTGCTTCTTGGAGTTTTGCGGGCCCCCCACCCCAGACGTCCGAGGCTGGATAAAGAGTTGGCCCCCTGAAGCTCGAGCTTCCACTGCGCATCGGTCTCTTGGCACTCCTTCCCAGAAAGTCCAAGAGACGCAACGGATATGGATACAGTCGGGCCGCTGAAGAAGGAACCCTTCTCGTTGGGGAGGGGCCCAGTGTTCCTCGATTGGTTTTATAACTTGTCTCAGGTTGTCCCTGGTTTTCTGTAGGAAGTCGAAGCTTGACTTCCGGACAGAAGGACCTTGTTCCGTAGGGTTCTTTTAGGACAGCGGTTCGACTGCAACTCTCGCCCCCACCCTGGGCTTGAGTCGGGCCTGTCCCTCTACAGGAGGAGTATGCAAACATAGGCCACACATGGTGTTGGGACGACGTTTTTTTTTGGGAGTTCTGGGCATCAGAAACATGTTCCGACGATACTCTGATTTTTTCCTTCCAGATCCGCCTGCAGGGATCGGGCCGGACGAAAGGGGGGGATTGGGAAAGGGGGGGTTACGAAATCTGCTGCATGCAGCTGGTTTCGGCCTCAGCGAGGGGCCCATTCCTCGATACATGGGCGCCTCCCGGCGCCGGGAGGCGCCGGGAAAATCAGCTACGCGAGCTGATTCTCAAACCCCCCCTTTGCTATCCCCCCCTTTCGCCCGACCCGAAGGGAGGACACGCCCGACCGGACCCCGGGCCCGCCGCCGACAGGAGCGCCAGGGACAGCCGGCCCGCGCGGAGGACGAGGCCGCGGAGGAGCGGCGCCCGCCGGGCGCCTGCAGCGAGATCTCCCTGCAGGAGGCGCCCGCCGCGGGCGCGGGCGCGGGCCCCGCGGCCGCCGGCAGCGCCAAGGCAGGGCTCGTTTCGAGTCCCCCGATTCGATTCGACTCGACTGCGATGGATGCCGACTCCGACTGGATTCGAGTCCGGATTCTCCGATGTGGGCTCCGAGCTCTTGCTGGGCGCACATTAGCCTGCCGCGTTCCGCAGATTTTTCGACTTTTCCCGATTCGGCTGCCGATCTTCGCCGATCCGATTCATTTCGATCGCCGCTTCGACTTCTCGATTCGATTCTGGGCTCTTCTGCCAAGGGCTCCGACAGCACCTGCGACCCGGAGCCCTTTAGCAGCCCCTGGCCAAGCACGGCGGAGGCCGCGTGAGCCTGCTGCGGCCCCTTCCAGTGGGGGGCAGGCAAGATCTAGGCCTCGCAGATGGCGTCCGAGCAGATGGGGTGGGAGGATCGCGCAGCTCGATGTTGAGTCCGACTTTCTCCGCGCCGACGTCGGCGCGGTCCTCCGACCCCATCCACTCCGACCTCATCCAGAAGTCCCTCCACAGGAGGAACAGCGCGGCCTGTGGACGTTTCGAAGAGGGGGGGGTCGAACCGGGGGGGAGGTGCCCCTTGACTTGAAAAGGGGGGCGGGGGCGTACAGGGGGGCCCTCCCTCCTCAAGGGGGGGTGATGGTGGTTCGAACCGGGGGGGGGCCTGAGTTGCAGGGGGGGGTGTTCGTCGAAATGGAGAGGCTGGGGGGGGCCCTCTCTCAAGGGGGGAGGTCGAAGCGACCCCCCCCCCCTCCCCCACCCTCTCTCCTTGAGAATTGCAAGGGGATGAGTCGAACCGGCCCCCCCTCCCATCGCCAATGGCAAACGACGACGACTCAGACGGTGACGGCGCGGTGACGACGACGACGACGACGACGACGACGGCGGCGACGACGGCGGCGGCGACGACGACAGCGACGAAAACGACGACGACGACGACGCCGACTAAGAAGACGACGACGCCGACGATGACGACTACGACGACGAGGAAGACGACTAAGGCGACGACGCCGCCGACGACGACGAGGAAGACGACGACGCCGCCGCCGACGACGACGACGGTGTCGGTGATGCCGTCGCCGACGACGACGCCGACGACGATGACGACGACGAAGAGGACGACGACGACGACGACGACGACGACGAAGACGACGACGACGGCACCGCCGCCGCCACCAACAACGCCGAAGACGAGGACGACGCCGACGACGACGACGGCGACGGAGTACGAGCCGATAGTCTCCAGCTGCTACGGCCGCCTCGGAAAACAAATTAAGGTAGGGTAGAGTAGAGTATGGAGTAGGTTGGGGCATGGTACGTATCTCAGAGTAGAGTAGAGTAGGATAGATGGTCGGGTAGAGTCGGGTATAGTAAAGCAAAGTAGAGCAGCGTAGGGTAGAACAAAACAAATGATATTAAAGTAAAGTAGAGCAGAGTGGGCGTAGAGTACAGCAGGAGGCAGGAGTAGAGTAAAGAGTAGGAGTAGGAGTAGAGTAGAGTAGAGTAGAGTAGTGCAGTGTAGAGTAGGTAAGAGCAGCATAGGGGTAGGTTAGAGTAGGGCGGTATCGAGTAGAACAGAGTATAGCAGAGTAGGGTGGATTGTAGTGTAGCGTCGAGCAGTTTAGAGTAGATTAGAGTAGGAAAGAGCAGAGTGCCCATGCGACCACCCTTCGGGTGATAAGGACTTTTGGGGGGGACGGCGGAGGAGCCAACGTCTCACACAACCGATATCACTATCGATTTTAGTATCGATCTCACTATCGACCTGACTATCGGTCTCGCTGTCGATCTCACTATCGATCTCACCATCGATATCACTTTAAATTTCACTATCGATCTCATTATCGATCTCACGGGACACCACAGGACTCCATGGGACACCATCGGAACACCACAGCGGGACACCACGAACCACCACGGGACACCACGGCGAGACACCGCGGGACACCATCGACACACAACCAGGACACTATCGGCACACCAGTCGAGACACTGCGGGACACCATGTGACACCATCGAAATACCTCGGCTGGACACCCCCGCCACCCGCCCGCCACGCGGCCAGGGGCGGCGGCGTTCCGTCCTCGGCGCGCCTTTGCCAGAGGAGGGCTCAGTCCTTTCGCCCGCACACGCAGCTTCGCCTCGCACGCACGACACGAGCCCGAAACCGGTGTCCGGTGGGGGCTTTCCCTTCCATGGCGATATCACCTTCGATATTGGAGAAGAGGAGAGTAGAGTTGACCAGACTAGAGGTGGAGTAGAAGTAGAGGTAGAGGTAGAGGTAGAGGCAGCTTAGAGTAGAGTAGAGTAGAAGAGTAGAGTAGAGCATAGTGAGAGTAGTCTAGAGCATACTTGGAGTTGAAGTAGAGCAGAGTAGGGGTAGAAGTAGAGCAGAGTAAAAGTAGGAGTATAATAGAGCAGGAAAAGAGTAGGGTACGTGGTAGAGCAGGGTCTGGCATGATAGAGTAACGTAGAGTATAATGGAGTTGAGTTCACCCCAGTCCAGTCTAGTCTACCCCTGTCCAGTCTACTTGAGTCCACTCTGGTCAAATTCATGCCAGCCTTCTGATCTATTCAGATTTTTCGCTGGCTGACATTATGAGAGTTCTGTGTTGCTTATGTGTCATGTTTAGCCGTCGGTTGTCCGTCGCCGTCGTGCCCTTGCAATTCGGAGCCCCCCCTACATCGAACACCCCCATGCGGCCAAACGTTGGGCCGAAACCTGGCCAAGCTGTTGGATTATGCATGTGTTCTCCCAGTCGTTGTGGAAACCTTTTGGGGGAACCCTGGGGAGAGGATGAGAAAATACGAGGAGAACGAGGAGGACAAGGAGGAGGAAGAGGAGGAGCCTCTTTGAGACCCTCCTGAGGCCTCATGAGGACTTACTTGGAGCTCTTGGTCCGTCTGGGGTCCGCTAGACTCCACTGACAGAGGACTTGCAGCGTTTTGGCCTCAAAAATACTCCCCAAACAGTTTTTCCCGCTCCAGCAAGGCAGGTATTGGTTGTCGGGGGGACTCGCCGGGATTAGTCGTGCGGGAGGGGTCGCCGCTGTAAACCTGTCGATGGCATGGGCGTCCTTCTGCGCCCAAGCGTCATCGTCAGGTTCGTCACATCGTCGCTGAGGTCTCCGTCGCGGCGCGGAGCGATGACGCGGCGCAGGCAACAGCGCCCGCCACGTTCCGACGAGCCGCTGGAGCGACCGCGTCCCGCCGGCGAGGTGCGCGACGAAACCCAGGGAAAAGCGTTGGCTCTGCGCGCGCTTTTCCACCGGCCCGTCCAGGAACGATCCCCGCGCGAGCTGCCCGGGCCAGGGAGACGCAGCGGCATGTGTGCCAGCAGCAGGCCACATGGGAGGCGGAGGCGGAGGAGGAGGGCGAGCGGGAACAGAAAAAGAGGAAGCAGCGAGGGACACAGCCCATCCAGGAACGATGCCCAGGGGAGTCGTCTGGAGGAGGGGCGTCGGTGAGAACAGAGTCAAACGAGTAGGCGAAGTGCGGTGAAGTTTCGCACCAGGGAGCAGTTTAGAGCCATCCTGGGATAATGTTGGAAGCCTTTGGGCTCTCTTGGGACCCTCTTGGGGCTCTCTCAGGGCATTCATCGGGGCCTTGGAAACCTTCTTGGGGCCACTTTGGAGGCCATCAATCAAACAAAGGTGGGGTTCTTAACGTCAGCCCCCCGTTCAGAGCTGAAAAATAACCTCCTGGGGCCCTCTTGGGGCACTCTTGAGGCGCTCTCGGGTGCTCCTGGGGCTGTCTTCGAGCCCACTGAGCCTCCTCCTGAAGCTCTCTTGTGCGAACTTGGCGCCATCTTACGCTCCGGAGCCGATCGGAAGCGACAAGTCGCGAAAACAGAAACCATCAAATCCTTTCAGTTCTAGAAGGATGGTTTACCTCTCGGCAGCAACTTTGGGAGGCTTCATGGAAATCTGGAGCCGTCTTGAGGCGGTATTGAGGCCTCTTCCAGGCACGTGGGAGGCTATCCTAAAACACATCATGAGGGTATGTTGCGCCATCTCGAAAGCCATCCTGGGTTTTCTGAAGCCTTTTTGTACGCCCTCCATCGTTGACCCCCTGGCAAAGTGCCGCGGGGGACATCAAACCAATTCATCAAACTCGCATGTATTGGGCGGCGCCTCCGGTGCACACTGCTGCTGGTGCATCACTCTAAAGTGAGCTGGGACAAGGGCGAGAGATAGCGAGCGTTTGACCGCGGCCGTTTGTGCTCAAGCGGCTGGCCGCCTACATTTGACTGCGCCTCATTGCGAGGCATACGATTCGTCATCGAGACCGAAAACATCCTTCGCTTGAGAAGGCCCGTCGCTCCCGCTACGACCTCCTACTGCTGGGACTATCTTTACTACGGTACAGCAGAGCTGGAGCTGTGCTTCGCCTAAGGCGAAGCTTCTGGTCGGGCCTACCGGCCCCCTTCAAACTTGGTCGCGGAGCTGGCCTGTGGTGGTCAGCTCTTGCTCTACTCCTCACCATCCACGGCACTATCTGGTGGACTACTGGCATGGTGGAACATCGGGGTGCAGTGGGTCTGCGCGGAGGAATGTAAATAATTACGCACAACCGCAAGGACACTTGCAGTGTTACTTCTGCTCTCGCAGAGGCATCTCACTCGAGTCCCACATCCCTGCGCTACTACATTCCTGAAGTCCGTCCACCTACTCCACTTGGGATTTTTTGAAGATACCATGCATGGCAACATGCGATACGATATTGTGCCGCCTCCACCCCCACGCAGGCTTACAACAAAACACCACAAACTTCAGCCAACCACATCCGACCACGACCTACGGGGCCATTGGATTGGTGTTGCTATCTTTATGGGTTGCTATCGGGTGCGCTGTGGGACACACGCGTGGCGGAGACGACACAAGGACAACCGGCCCCCGCTGGGACCCGGCCGGTCAAGTACCTTTTTCCGCGAATTCGTTCGAGAGGTACGTGCCTGGATCAACGCTACCACAGGCAATGTGACGCCCTCCCAACAAGCTGCAGCACTGCAACGTGGCATGGGAGGCCTCGCGCGGACCATAGCCATGAGAGTTCCCCAAGCAGTCATTAATTTTGGCGTCAACATGGATGGCCACCATACTGATGGTGTCACCTACATTATGTTCCTTCTGAGCACGAAGTTTGAGAACTTATAAGAGGAACGCCAACTCCACAAGGGCACTGCTGTCATCGACTTTCGAGTCCATGCGGGAGAACGGATCGACCAGACATTGGCGCGCTTCGAGATAGCCCGCTATGAGGCTGAAGCGGCAGGCTTTAACATCCCCGTCTTCCACATTCGAACGGTTATTATGTTCAGAGCCTTAGGTGCGGGGAC